TAAAATAAAACAACAAATTATTGAGTCTACCCCACGTCTACCCTACATCATAGTTTTACATTTTTTAAATAAAATTAGAACGACACTGATAAACCGGAATTTAACTCGGCCATATTTGAGGCCCATCGCGGTGTACCTAAGATTTTTGATATGCTCCTTCCTTAGTCTTCTTATTCAAAGATTTTTTGTAACCTCTGCGCAGTAAAATCTTGACACTTACGCCCCTCTCCAAGGACCAATAAGTCGCTTTCTGTAGCCAGAATTTTAAGATAAAAAAGGTTCTTTTGCTAGGCTTTTTTCTCGGATTTTATCATTCCGAATGCTCTAAAGTAAAAAGGCGCACACATATAGAGTCGTAAAGATGGCTGGCTTAATCTATTACGTAGTGGCAGAAGAAAAAATGGTGGAAATAAAAGAACGGAGCGTGGATAAGGAATTTCCAATTTAAATGGGCTAATGCTGGCCATAAAGATAAAGTTTCCATGACTGTAAAAGGAAACTCGTATCTCTTTACACTTTGAATATCATAATTTTCACTTTTGTTAGTCGAAAAGTTATACTGAATATCTAAATAAAGCAAAGTCAAAGGTTAGTTACACCATTTACACCTCTCAAAAACGGTTGCATCGATTTTAATGATCTATGGAATAAAACAGTAGTAATAATCTACAAGTAGGAGTCACATTGGCGTCAAAATCAAATTTTATCATTTCAAAAAGCTCCCAAACACCAATTTTCATCCAAATATCGACTTTAGTTCAAAAATTATTAGGAAAAAATAGAAATATAAATTAAACTTCTACACCCCGTATCTCCGAAACTAGGCATTTTAGAACATACATTTATACGAATTTTTTAACTTCTTCTTATCTACAGAATATGCTGCCGAAGTTTTCGGAACACAGTTCGGTCCACCCTGTATAGAAAAGTTTGTTCATTTTAAACATATATTTAAGCTTCTTGTATTAGACAAAGAACTAAGAGAGAACACTGAGTGCGTCGAGACAACAACCATTCTTTGGTATTACTGACATCGGAGATGGAAAACTAGCCTTTGTGAATCCGTCTCAGGTACTGGCTTTTGTCAAAGTCCTAAGACTGTGTAATCCACAAATATGATATATTAACATAAAATATTTTTCCCGGATTATTGCGTTGAAAAATGAAAACCTTCCAGAAAGTAACAAACATATCTATGTATAAAGCTACGTAATAAGTTTAAAAATATCCTTAATCAATTTAATGTATCTTAATTATTGAAAAAGCACTAATAGCAAATCTGATTATCGGAAATTTTCTATATCCCGATTTAATAAGCTTAATTACTGCATATTTCATTAACTTGATATACTAGAAATAATCCAAAAGAGAATTTTATAAACATATTAAAAATAGCGTAATCCTTAAAAAACATTAATATGATTAAAAAACGAAAATGTTTGGTTTTAATAATACACACACCGGAAAAGTCTAGGGATATTACAATTTTATCCAGCCATTGTCAGTAATTTTATTATTTGCATTTCTGATATAATAAAATTAAAATAAACAAATAGTTTACAGGACGTATTGGAAATAAAAATGCGAAATTTACCGAATTTTTCAAATTTACCTTGATTTTTATTGAACTCAAAAAAATACACACATTTTTTTTTCATTCTAAACTGTGAATTAAAAAAAAGATAAAACCAATTTTACTTAATAAAGGGTATAGCCTCCTCTACTGTTCATTACAGCCCTACATCGTCTCTCCATGCTCCTGATCAAGTTGTCGATCTCTTCTTGAGGTACAGCCTGCCACGCTGCATTCACGGCCCGAACCAGATCCCTACGAGTTTCACGTGGCATGCCCTTTCTCAAAATTCTTCTTTGGACCGCGTCCCATACGTGCTCGATGGGGTTGAGGTCAGGATATTGTGCCGGTCAGGGTAAGATGTTTAATTGATGAGCATTGATAAACTCACTTACCACTCTAGCTGTATGAGGCCGTGCATTGTCATGCATGAGAATGAAGTTTCTCCCAAAATCATTGACATATGGTAACACGACAGGCTCAAGAATTAAATCACGGAATGTGATTCCTGTTAGAAACCTATCAAGAAAAACGAGATCGATTTTTCGGCCTAACTGGACTCCTCCCCAGACCATAACTGTTCCACCTTGATAAGGGTGCACTTCCTGAACATGATCCAACCGAATAAGATTTTCCGGTTCTCTCCATATCCTAAGCCTTCTCGAATCCGGATGAATTCCAAAGCGTGACTCATCCGTGAAGAGAACATTGTCATCATCCGTGAAGAGAACTTTAGCCCACAAATATCGTACCTCTCGATTTCCTCTCGTTAAGGGTTGAGCTCTCCAGGGGCGTCTGCTTCTTAAGTTGACCTCTCCTAATCTATTGCGAACAGTGTCAGGACTAACGGTTACATTATGGGTTTCTTGGAGAATTAAACTAAGCTCTGGTGCTGTAAGAGTCGGTCGGCGTCGAGCATTTAATTGTAAAAAATTATCTTGCTGAGGGGTAGTAATGCGATGTCGCCCTGTGTGCCTTTCAACAACATCACCACTTTCACGGTAGATTGACGATTTGGCGCATCGATTTGGCGCGTCGATTTGGCGCATTCCAGCTTCGAGCATAGCCATGGCCCTTAGCATTTCGTCTCTGTTAAGATGTCTACGCTCCATAATATCGTTTAATACTAAACAGAGCAGGGGCGGATACAGAAATTTATTTTAGGGGGGGGGCAAATAAAAAATAATGCCAAATATGCCTTTTAGGGCGCCATTTTTAACCCAAAAGCCTAATATTTAACCCAATTTACAAATTTCAGGGGGGGCCAGGGCCACATGGGCCCCCCCACCTGTATCCGCCACTGAAACAGAGTTATTTGAATGAATTCTGGCCAGTTATCATAAAAACATAGCCAGTACAGGTTAAATTCGAACAATTGATGCTATAGTCTGTCCAACGAGAAGATCCTTGACAGTGATAGATGTGTCTGTCATTTTAATTTCAAAGTAGTTTATTTTATTTTACAAAGAAATAAGTTGGTACAACTGGAACGCATAGCAGGAAATATTTAAAATTTGATTGACAAGATGACAAGTGATTACTTCAAAATATTGTGAAAAA